TCGGTGCGTTCTACATAGTCTCCCTGAACACAAGACCAAGTTGCGACGAGGTCAACCCACTTCAATAAGTAATATAGTCAATTGCTATAGCGAATACAAGTTTGCTTCATCGACAATCGCACCATAGAGTGTTGTATGGGAAGGGTGTGAGATAGAGTAAGCGATAACTTTGCCTACTGCCTAAGAAAACTCGGGAAAAACAAAAATGGAGCAAAACCAGCAAAAAGGAGACACCTGGATCAACCGATAGCAGGAGGAAAAGGGAATGCGATGAAGAAAGTGAGGGGAAGGGGTTTTGGGCAATAAAGCGAAGACGTTGTCAATGAGTGATGTCCATTTCAAATAAACCAGTACAACTTTGGGGGCGTGGCAGTCAGGGAGCAGGGCAGACGGATAAGCAAACCGTCACGGAAATTTGGCGTTATGGCCAAAATGTACTAGAAATCCCCTTGAGATGTCACGTGACCAAAGATAGGCGTCCACAGTTTGCTCAGATAACGTGGGTTTAATCAAAGGAGGACCCGTGAAGAGGCAGTGTAAGTGCTTCTAGGTCCTTGAGAAATATCGCCTGGAGTGAAATGCACAAAGAGACTAGAACCAAGTGAAATCGGTCAACCAGAAAGATAGTGAACGGATCTAAGAGACAATGAAGGGATCCGGATTGGAGGCCTGAGTCGGATAAGCCGATCGAAAGAGAGGGATCGGGGTAAATAAGAAGTGTGATGGGGCCACACTAGATTTACCACATAAGAGTACATATTTTGACGAGTGGAATGTAAACAAGTGAGAAGTTGTGATAGGGCGGCAATGGGATAAGAGGGTAAAGAGTAGAAAGATAGGCCAGAACAGAAAGAGGAGTAATAGTACGTGATTGGGCGGCAGTGCATTAAAAGGGTAAAGAGTAGATAGATAGGCCAGGACAGAAAGAGGAGTGATGGTGTAACCGTTTTCGGCTTCCTTCCAGCAACGTTGATAGATGGGCCATGACAGAAAGAGGAGTAATAGTGTAACCGTTTTCAGCAGAACACTTGTGGAGGCATTGATTTCTCACAGATAGACAGTGACAGAAAGAGGAGTGATAGTGTAACCGTTTTCGGCAGAACGGTTGTCGAGAGATTGACTTCATAGGGTAAGGAGAAGATAGATAGGCCAGGACAGAAAGAGAAGTGATAGTGTAACCGTTTTTCAGCAGAACGTTTGTCGAGGGATTGGCTTCACTTTCCTGCTCATGGGAATCATGACAACTACTATGACAGACGACTTCGGACTAGGTGCGTTCTACATGGTCGTCAAAGAGACGAGTTCGTAGCTTGGTGCGGCGAATGGCAAAACTCACTGATGATGCCGACTACGATGCCGGCGAAACGTTCGAGAATGTACCAAATCCAATGTCTGATGCTGGGAATTATGACAACCACTATGGCAGACGACTTCGGACTAGGTGCGTACTACTAAGTCGCCCTGAAAAAACCAAGTTGCGACAATTAGTTAAACCCACTTGTATAGATTTTATACTGCAATATCACAATTCGGGTTCCACTGGGGATGCTGATGAGATATA